TTATATTCCCGCCATTATGTAGATCAGTGTATCATGTCGATCATGCGCAGCAGCCCCTCATCACGTTGTCGCCAAAGCGAGGAAGCTATGCTGATCGATTAGGGCAGTATATTCGTCGCCCAATGAGATGGGCGGGGATGCACTTTAGGGATATCAACAAGGCGGTCATCGCCGGAACCTTTACCATTTGAGAAGAAACGGTCTGAGGTGCGGGGGTGTATCGCATCAACAGTGGAACGGACCAGCGGCGGATTTGGAAAGAAACGGTTCGAGGAAGCGACACATCACAACAGTAGCGGATACGGGAGAAACGGTCGAGGAGGTGGCTGAACACACCAGCGGCGGATCTCAACTGCGGCGGCTCTGAAGACTGTTAGTGATTACTTTGGAGTTATCGACTCAGAGATAATCTATACTCGATAATTCTGCAAGACTCTATTTCGAGTACATGGGGGCTGAAGGAACGAAATCGGTTGGTTTTTGACCTTGTTATTTTGTGCTTATTCGAAACAACACCATACAGAGATGAGTGGGGGTCTGCGGAGCGCAGCAGCCCCAGTGAAAGCGCGTCTAATGCGCTATTTAGCGGAAGTCCCGCCAACATTAGTACTTCAACAATCGGATCAGATAAGTCCAGAACAGCAGCTAGTGCTCTATGAGGAACACCTACAGTTACTCGATCGCGCGCAATTTCGCATACAGTCCACTGTAGAAACGCTGTCATCGTATGAACAGCAGTGGGTCGAAATAATAGCAAGAAACCCCGACTTGGCTCCAGCAGAAGAAGCGTTGTGGGAACAGCATGCGACGGGGGATGGCTTCCTCGCGGTCCTAAACCTAGGAAGAGAGCAGCTAACAGAATTAATGCTACGTATACAAGCCATAAAGCGAGCGATCGATCATCTTTCGATGAATTCGTCGCAACCATTGCAGCAGAAGGGTGTCGGAAGCCCACCATTTTTGGAAGGGTCGCATGTTCGCCTTCCAAAACTCGAATTGCAGACCTTTCATGGGGACCCCAAGGCATGGCCAGTATTCTGGGACTGGTTTGATGCAACTATAAATCAGCAACAGATCCCGGACATTCAAAAATTAAGCTATCTGAAAGAGTGTATGCGTGGGCGCGCTCAAGTACTAGTATCGGCGTACAGCTTACATTCACAATCATATGAAACAGTATTGAAGCGTCTTAAAGAGCAGTATGGGGATAAAGAAATCATTGTACAAGAGCTGTATGACGCTTTGGAGAGTCTCCCTAGTGTACATGAAGGCACGCAGCTGCGTTCTTTGGTCGAGGATTTGGAACGCATTTTGGAGCTCCTTTGTCATCAGGGCGAAGATGTAAACAATCGGATGATTCAAAGGGCAATTGAGAACAAGCTGCCGAAATGGATTCTTTTGGAATTTGAAAGACAAAAAACTACTGTTCAAAACTGGAATGTAGCATCAATCAGAAAATCCTTAGCAACGTTAGCTCTGAGCTACGACACTGTATTTCGCACCTTGAGAAAAAGAAGTGATCATGCTGATATGCACAGAGAGAAACAATACAGTCGTAGCAGACAGGAAGGGCCGAAAAAAGTAAACAGCTTAAATACATTTACTACGATGCCGTTGCAATCAAGCAACACTCAAAAGCCTAGGAAACCACAGCGGTGTTGTGAACTTTGTTCACAGTCACATTGGGCAAGCCAGTGTACTTCATATCCAAGCGTCGATAGTAGAATGGAACGTTGCCGAGTTCTTCGTTTGTGTTACCGCTGCTTGGTAAAAGGCCACCGAGCATCCCTGTGCGATAGTCGAAATAAATGTTTCTATTGCTCACATCCAAATCATCACAGCTGTTTATGTCGCCGAAGGGATCACAAGATAGCACAGGTCACTGCGGCAAATAATGCACCACAAATGAATAAACGCCATGAAACACTTGATAGAAGCAGTCCTGTAGAACAAACAGCTGCTGCTTCTACTATTACGGTGATGCAACCAGCTAATAGAACGAGTATTCTGCTTTGCTGCGTAGAGGCCGAAGTTTGTAATCCAAAGAACACGGACATACGTACAGAAGCTCTTACCTTCATTGATCCTGGTAGCCAGCGTTCGTTTATAACGCAGGCGTTAGTTGATAAATTGCGTATTCAGTGTGGTCCAGCAAAAGAACTTCACTTGGTGGGTCTTGCGGAACGGGAACCTCATCGTTACACGACAAAGTTGCTACTGTTTATATAACTAGAGAGGATGGTAGCAGGAAATCGCTTGAAGCAAACACTATTTCTGCAATAACTCAACCTCTGCAATACGTTCCCAAACAGTTTTGCGACAATATACACCGTTTGCGAGGTGAACGTCTTCCTACAGCGTGGCGCCAACCTGACATAATGATTGGTATCGATCAGTTGTTTGATTGGACCAACATGACTCCGCAAATGACATTACCATCCGGATTTCATGTAATCCCTACTACACTGGGCAATATAATAGCAGGATCAGGTCAACTGGGACATAATGCAGTGAAGAAAACAACGTGTACTGCTGCAGTTCTGTTGTCGGAGGAAGATAGTATGCAACAGTTTTGGTCATTAGAGGGCATTGGTATAACAGATATGGACAATAAAGAAGATGACGAAGTGGCGTACCAGCTTTTCAAAAATACAATTACAAGAAATGCTGAAGGTCGTTATGAAGTGAAATGGCCGTGGCGTCCCGACCAAGGGAAACCACTTCCTTCTAATTACGGCTTGGCTCTGGGTCGTCTGCGATCCACGATTAGAACTTTACAGAGGACACCAGAACTACTTACACGTTATCACGCCATCTTTCAAGAACAGCTAAGGGACGGCATTATTGAAAAGGTAACCGAATCTAAACCTGCGTTTTTACATTACTTACCTCATCAACCGATAATTACTCCCCAGAAGCATACCACTAAAATAAGAATAGTTTTTGATGCGAGCGCTAAACTCAGAGAAGGTGCCAGTTTAAACGATAAGTTGTACAGAGGACCGATATTTCTTCCACAACTGATAGGTATACTTCTGAGGTGGCGTACATTTCCGACAGTGATTGTCGCTGACGTTGAGAAAGCGTTCTTACAAGTGGGCCTGAACAAAAGCGACAGAGATGTTACGCGTTTTCTCTGGGTAAAGGATCCACTGTTACCTCCTGTAGGAAGCAATTTGGAGACTTATCGATTTACTCGAGTTCTTTTTGGCGTTGTTTCGAGTCCATTCCTCCTAGCGGCGACAGTGAGACATCATTTACAACAGCTGAATACTGCTCTGTCCGCCCATATTTTGGAAAATCTGTACGTGGACAACACGATAATATCAGCAGAAGATACAGAAGATGCGATACAGAAATATGAAGAAGCAAAGCGTTACTTCGACGACATGAAAATGAATCTTCGAGAATTCTCTTCGAACAATGAGAAATTTATGGAAAGTCTGCCGAAAGGAGATCGACAGGAAGGAGATTATATCAAAATCTTAGGAATCGATTGGGATCGTCGCGAAGATTTGATTGTGTTGCGAACTCCCGAACTGCCTATGGCTGGAGCAACCAAGAGAGCAATTCTGAGTGC